TATATATATATATATATATATATATATATATATATATATATATGTATTTATATACATATATATGTATTTATATATATTCATATATATTTATATACATATATATGTATTTATATATATACACATATATATTATTATATATATATTATTATATCTATATATATTTATAGATATAAATATATATATGTATATAAATTAAAACCCTGATGAACCAGATTCTACAAAAAACATCTAGATTTAAATTTTTATAGGTTTTCATCATCATTTGATGTATTTGCACTCATTGTGTCTACTTTTAATGTTAATTTGAAAAACCACACATTTTTTCAAATGTGTGGTTTTCTTTCTTGTTCACATATATACATTTTATTTTTAGCTTTGCTTTAAAGTTCTTGTTTTGTGATTTGTACATTTGTGGGTTAAAATAAAGTTGAACTGAAGGTCGTCTCTTTTCTTTAAACATGTTTGACGGAAATATTCCTGAGATCCAATAGTTTTGTGTTTTTTTATGATTTTCAGCTGAGTTAACAGTCATTAAAGTGAAAACAGGATTTCATGATGAAGCTGGCACCGTTTATTTTATTATTTTTTTAATCTTCAACGCTAAAATATATATATATATATTATTTTTTTATGATCACCTCTGCTGGTCTCGATCCTCTCCTCCGGAGACAGGACGGGCAGGCTCATCCTCCCAGCTCCGAGCTCAGCTGGTGACTCACAGAGGCCGTTCCAATACTCCAGCCGCGCGTAATCATGAAGCCCGACCCGCGCAGACAGGTGGACAGAGACGGGTCTGCGACGAACGGTGGAAGCGATTTTAAAAAACATTTTACGTGTAAAAAAAAATAAATCATTTTTAAATCGCTTCAGCAATTTTTTAAAACATTTTTTGTATAAAACAAAATATTATTTTATTTAAAAATCGCTTCCACCATCCGTCCCAGACTGTCCAGTCCGCCTGGCTGCCGGGTGGGATCGGGATTCAGCCTTCAATGATTACGCACGGCCGGGTCTCATAACGTCCATCTGTGAGTCCCCATCTCCAGCTTCGCAGTGACCAGCGGAGCTCTGAGCACACAAGGCTGGTATCCGGAACCCGAGCCTCCGAGTTGGCACATCGATGGATCTTCCGCGGTGACCAGCTGAACTTGGAGCCGGGGAGATGACGCCCTGCCCGGCCTGGCGCTCCGAGACTCCGGGGGGAGGACCGGGGTACACCAGCAGAGCTCCATCCAGCTTGCTCTGAATTATGTTGTCGGCCACCAAGCACAAAAAATGCCAGCACATCAGCATTAGACCAAGATGTTGTCAGTATTGTTTTTAAAATCTTTAAAATAAGTCCAGCCGTTGCTCCAGTCCGAGAAATTGCAAATGGCGGATTATTGTTTTGAAAAGTTTCTGAAGGACTCAGTGACTCCGCCCCCGACCAATCAGTGACCGACAGTGTTCTGACGACACGTTGTAGTACCTACTCGTTTTGGTTAGAACCCCAGAGCCAAGGGTACTGAAAATAGTAACAGGTGCTAAGTACCGGTACTAATGGAAAAGCCTCAGAACCGGGCCAAGTAGGGTACAGTCGGCCCGTACCGGTACTAATGGAAAAGGGGCATTAGTTGAGTCTCATCTCCGACTGAAAGTTCCAGCAAGACTGCAAGACTAAGACTCGTGAAGACTAAGACTTCGAAGAAGACTAAGACTTCGTGAAGACTATGACTCGTGAAGACTTCGAAGAAGACTGACTGAATAGTTCCAAGAAGTGTTGCCTTTTAAAGGGGGTATCCACTTCCTGTTATGTGGTACTTCCAGATTGGTTGAAACAACCAGCAGAAGTGTAGTTCTAGTGATGTCAGAGGGTCACTAGGAGTCAGGAGACAGCAGGAATGTTTAAGAACGGTTAGTACAGACAGAGAAATGTTTTTAAGAAATGAGAGGAAGCAGGTGCCAGCAGCACACACATCGTGCACACACACAAAAACACACAGGCAGAAACATAATGGCTGTCTTTCAGCAGCAGACTATTACCTGTACATAACTGATGTTTTAGTATTTATTTCTATAATCATATCTTTGCTAAATGTTTTTTAAATTATTTATCATACTGTATTGAAGTTTTCTCACTCCTGAAGAATGTTTGCTGTCTATAATGATGAGATTCTGTTACAGAGATGAGGACATGCAGAGTCTAGCTAGCCTGATGAGCATGAAACAGGCTGACATTGGCAACCTGGACGACTTTGAAGAGGAGAATGAGGAGGATGAGGAGAACCGAGTTAACCAAGAGGAAAAGGCTGCCAAGATCACAGGTATAAACTGAATAAACTATTGTTTGTTTGGTTAGTTTTGTAATATTATAACAGATTATGGATCTTAACAGTGGCATGTTTCTGGTTGCTAATCACATCTTTCAGAACATATTGAGTCAGAGCTTCACTGAGAGCATTTCTGTTATTTGTCCATAATGGCAATCGATGAAAACCTGGTTGTCATTCATAGTAGTTGTGAACATGTTTTGATAAATTTTCTTATAACTATAGAAATAACTATGTATTTTAGCAGGCAGATAAACAGACCTCCCTAAATAATCGCTTCCCACAGATCTTCATGTGGGACATCAACCTTATTTACTTTTCTTTCGTGTGTTTACATTTTTAAGCTTGTCTCTGTGTGCTTCCAAACATAAAATATACCGAAAATGTTTATTAATTCATTATTTTTATTTGCATATTTTGTTTTCCTTTTTTTTTTGTCCCTGCTTCTGGTTTTAATTGGTCCTGTAAACTGCTGGTTGCTTGCCTCTCTCCATACGTGTATACGTGTTAGGATTCATTCTCTGGTCTAATATATGGGCCTTGCTGCTTCCTGCTTTGCTTAATCCAACTTTTCAGAGCGGCACTTCTCCACGTTAAGCTTCATGCATTCTCTCCTTTCTTTTCCTGTCCTTGCTCTTCATCTTATTTGTATGTATATGCATTGAGGGCCTACAGCAATGCTTCACAAGAACACATATTTGGATCAAAGGCTGGGCAAAGCTGCCAAAACTCCCTACAATCATATTCCTCTTTGAATGCTACCTACAGAACAAGCTGCCCAAGCATAAATAACACTAGGCTGACAGTTCATCCTCTGGAAACAATGTGACATCTCTTCTTTTTTTTAATGCAGAAAGTAAATATTTGAATCTCAGTGAAAGTCTCTGTGCCTGTCTTCATTTGTGTTCAAGTTGTTATTTGGTATTTTATCCATGTAGCCTAGGAACTTTAAGCAGCTAACAATCCAAAAGACTTGTAATGGTAATGTGGCCTTGTTATATTTTAGAGATTAGCTTTAACTCCTTTTTGAGCCAAAATACTGTATCTTATCTCAATATTTCATATTTTAGACACTGTATGAGGGTTAACAATAACAATAACAATAACAATGTTTGTATAGAAATGAGCAAAACAAATCATTTAAACAATAATATGTTTCCTTTTTGTACTGTATGTATCTGTGTCTGGATATGTAAATGTCCTTACAGTTCAGTACTCCTTTTCAGTGAAGAAGTAAAATCATTTGCTGACTTTGCCTACAAGCAAGTCAATGCTTATTAATTCACATTTGAAATAACTATTATAGTCACACACAACTACATTATCAGAAGTAAATACAATAAAATCAGCCTGAGATCTGATTCTATTCAATGCTGTCAAAATAAAAGAATACTCCATCTTTACAGTATTTCTGTTTAGATCACCCACCTCAGTACTGCACTATCATGTTGCAGTCAACACCGTTATCACTGAAGTCCACAATTCACATAGAAGTTTGTCTGTTTTCTATAGTGTTGCACATGTCTGAATAACCATGGCTATTAGGAACAAACTAATTAGTCATATCGTTAAAGTATATTGTTTAAGTAAGACAGATTTAACAAACCACAAATATTTTTACTTAGTTTATGGTTTTCCAATAAGGTTTCTCCTATTGTTGCCAACCTGTACATGGAGGAGGTAGAAAAGAGAGCCTTGACGTCCTTTTCAGGGACACCATCAAGTCATTGGTTCAGGCATGTTGACGACACCTGGGTTAAAATTAAATCTCAGGAAGTCCAACATTTTACTGACCACATCAACTCTGTGGATAAATACATCAAGTTCACATGAGAAGATGTAAAAAATGGCAAGTTGGCTTTCTTGGACTGTGAGGTCTCAGTCTCTGATAGAGGACATTTGCAAATCGAGGTGTACCGCAAACCCACCCACACAGACCAGTATTTGCAGTTTGACTCCCATCACCCTTTGTAGCACAAGTTAGGAGTCATCTCTCTGTATCACAGAGCAGACAGCGTCCCCACTAGCTCAGGAGCCAGGCAGAAGGAGAAATCCCACACAAGACAGGCTCTAGAGCAATGTGGATATCCTAACTGGGCCTTCCTGAAAGCAGAGAAGAAACCCAAACAGGACTCCAGTCAGCCAACAAGTGAAAAGGAGGAACCCAGACCCAGACCAGTGGTCATTTCGTATGTTGAGGGAGTATCAGAGAAACTGAGACGTTTATTTTCTAAACATAACGTCCCAGTGGCTTTTAAACCCCAAAATACATTACGGCAAAGACTGGTTCATCCCAAAGATCCAGTCCCCCGGCACAAACAGAGTAATGTTGTGTATGCTGTTCAGTGTCAGGAGGGCTGTGATCAGTCTTACATCGGGGAAACAAAACAGCCACTGGCCAAAAGGATGGCCCTGCACAGAAGAGCAACAACATCAGGCAAGGACTCTGTGGTCTACACTCATCTCCAGGCCAGCAGTCACTCTTTCAGGGATGAAGATGTTCACATCCTGGATAGAGAGGAACGATGGTTTGAGAGAGGAGTAAAGGAGGCCATCTTTGTGAAAAGAAATCGTCCATCATAAAACAGGGGTGGAGGCCTACGTGTTCAATTGTCCCCCTCTTACAATGCTGTGATTGCTAGTATCACTCAGCCCTCTGTGAATAGTAAACAGCCATCAGTGTGCTAATGATCCATTGTTAGGCTGATGGTCCTTCTTGAGCATGTGATCAGCTGGTTTTGGTTGTCAGCAGCAAACTGGTTGATCCACTCTGAGAAGGTGCTATTTAAGAGACTGAGCAGAATACAGCACCTCAGACTGAGGAAGTCTCTCGGATGAGAGACGAAACGTTTCTATATTTTTTTGCTTTGTTTTGTTTTTTGTTTTTTTGAATGTCCAGAGGACCAGATTGAACTTTTTTGGATTTTTCTACCTGGATTTTTGAGCATGCATCAGGATATTTTCCAATAAGGCTTCTCCATTAAAGACACCTTGTAAAAGAGATTAATAATCTCAGTGGATTTCTTCCTGGTAAAACAAAGGTTAAATTAAATTACTGTCTGCTGAGTTTTGTATGCCTCTGCCATACCATCAGTAACAATAGAACAAAAATGATTGCGCATGGACTTTGTTGGAATAGAATAAAAACTGTCAAATGTATACTTATCAATTTTTTGTGGATTTTATACCTATCTAATGTAACATATGCGTTTTTTTCTATAATGTAGAGCTGCATAATATATCAAAAAATTACTGTCATTGTAATATCAGTAGTGCAATATCAATACAGTAGCCCCTCGCTACTTGGCAGTTCGTTTATCGCGGACTAGCTCTATCGCAGTTTTTCAAAATAAGATTGGACATGACACACAATTGGCTGACTGATGGATGAGCTGCACGATCGGCATGAAATATTTATTTAAAATAAATTATTTTAAATTATTTAGCACCTGCTGCACACTTGTGCAGCCCAGAGCTGCAGAAAAAGCTTCCTCCTGCACCTCGGTGCAGCCCATACTGCAGGATAAGCTTCCTGCTGCAGCTGATCAGCTGTTTTTTGTGAGAAGTGGGCGTGGCCAAGAACGCATGCAGGTGGCAAAGAGCAGACGAGGCAGGGAGCTGAAATCATGACATTCTGTGCGTTTAGTGTGTTTAGAGTTTAGAAACATTGTTTAGAATATTGCAAGAGTGTGGGAAGGGTTTAAAATGCCTTAATATATAAATACTAAAATAAACTACTACTTACTACTTGTACTACTATTCCTACTTCGCGTTTTTTCACTTATTGCGGGGCTTCATGGTATGGATCCCCTGCGATAAATGAGGGACTACTGTATTGTAAAGTACTGCTTGGACTGCAATAAATACCATATATTTCAAGTCCCATGCGCCATTAGTCAAACCTACGGCCTCACCGACCTTGATGTTCTAGAATTGCGCTGCTCAATGTGGCTGCATGTTGGAGCAACTCTGTTACTTTCATTCTGAGATTTTACTTTAGGAAACTTTAATTCCTCTTTTTCTGGATGTAAATCACATTTTTTGGATGATTGTTTCCTCTGGTATCGGATTCTGTGCAGCTGGAAGGATTTTTATTGAATCTTTTTTAAATGGTAAATGGACTGTACTTATATAGTGCCTTTCTTTCTTATGGAGATACTCAAAGCGCTTTACACTACAATCTGTGTCCTCATTAACCCATTCAGACAGCACTCTACTAGATCTCTACAAAGCTAACTGAACAAATTATTCTAAAGAGACTAATCAGTGCTTTATCACATTCATACACTGATAGGACACACATCGGAGGCAACGGGGGGTTCAGTGTCTTGCCCTGGGACACTTTGGCATGTGACTGCTGTTGGATTCGAACCCCCAACTCTTGCATTGGAGGACAACTGCTCTAACCACTCAGCCACAGCCGCCCCAGTTTTTTTTTTTTTTTTTTGGACATTTGTTATGATGCATAACCATGACAACAAGGCAGTTTTCTAAAACAAACAGCAGCTGATTAACATCTTAACAGCTCAAATAATATCTCAACTACAGCTCCAAATCTCAGATAGGTTGAAAAGGATGTTCTGTGGACGCATTCTCATCTACCTGCCAGCTGTGCTTGAGTGCCTGACCACTAAGATCCTGGAACTAGCAGAAAACACGGCTCATGACAGCGAAAGGACAGGATCGTCCCTCAACACCTACAGTTGGCTGTCCGCATTGATGAGGAGCTCAGCAGACTGCTGGGAGGAGTGGCAATCGCTCTGGGAGGAGTTCTGCCCGGCATTCGGGCGGTCCTACAGCCCGGGGGAATTGAGAGGCCACCCGAGTCTGGGTGGATGGATCAGATGGCATCTGCAGCCATTTTCTTAGGATCCACTGTGGGATGGACCTTTACAAGAGATCCTTCCTGTCTACAGCCATCAGCATATATAACATCTCTTAATGAAACGAGGATAATGAGTTACAACAACAAATAATTTCCCTTTGGGATTAATAAAGTATTTTTGAATTGAATTGAATTGAATTGAATTGAATTGAAATGATACCTGTACCTGGTTTAAATGATGATGACAGAAGAGTAAGCGAGGAGTGAGCAAAATGAGGGCTTGTCTCAATTTATATAATCATTTCAATATTAAACAATTATATTGCACATCACAAGTTTTACTAATATTATGCGGCCCTACATTTAACATTTGATTCTAACTGAGCAACCTGACTGTTCTGCTGACCTGTTAAATAACAGCTATTCTAAAACTATTAAAATTGTCACTAAATCAATGCAGTTTTGTTTATCTACACTGAGATGCACCTGGGATTTGAAAGGTTTTCACACCTCTCTTCCTTTTTCAGCCTGTTAATTTAGTGTTGTCAGTAATACAACACACAAAAGACCAGACTTACAGTATGCTATTTTATATAAACTTTTTGGATGTGTGAAAATAAAGTAAGTTTGTTCTTTGTTCATGAGTGTGTATATTAAATAGGGTGTGCTATTTTGCCTTGTTCACTTCTTTTCTTCCTCCCTCATTTCCTGTATGGACCTGTCCTCTACAGAGATAGTAAACCAGTTGAATGCCCTCAGCTGCTTACATGGGGATGATGATGATGGTGGTGGTGTTACCAAGTGGGCACGCAAAGCAACAGCTAAGCCTGCTGCTTCCTCCCAAGGTCTTCTTTTCATCTTTCTTTCACCCCCTTCTCATCCTTAGTACTGTACTCTTCATTGACTTGTGGATATGTGGCCTCATTCCTATCAGTCAATGTCTCTAATTCTATCTGTATTTTTTTCAATACTTAATTTGATTTTTGGTAACACTTCTGACCATTTTGGTTTCTTTCCTAGTTGGCTCGACTCTCCACCCAACCTTGATCCTTTTTGACATTGATATTGTGATTGTGTTGTGGTCATGTGGGATTAAAGTTTATTTTGGTCCTGTACATGGTGTTTTAAACACATCAGTTGGTGTTCATCCATTTTGTTCTTGTTTTTTTTTTTTATGTGAACTTCCCCTTTCCTTCACTGCAATTGGAAGTGAACCAGTGTAGGTATATATATCATACCTAAAAAAAAGCCACCTTCTAAATTAGTATATAACTCAAGAAGGACAAAGTTACATTGTTCTATTTGTATAACAGTTATGTAAAATTGTTTACCTTTTTAATAGTTCTCATGAGGCCTATACATACATATATATATATAGTCTATCTATCTATCTATCTATCTATCTATCTATCTATCTATCTATCTATCTATCTATCTATCT